AACAGCCCCGACAACAGCAACAACAACAGCAGCAACAGCAACAGCAGCAGCAACAACAGCAACAACAGCCGCAGCAGACTACTTCCCTCCTGCCTACGGTGGAGGCCGCGGAGTGGAATCCCCGAGCCACTGATCACATGAACCGAGTGATCAGGGTCGACGATTCCATTCTGCAGGATCCTCATGTCGCCCATGCAGTGAGTGAGACACTGCATTTTGAGGCTGACATGGAGGCTCATCGGGGGCGATCAACCAACGTGTTGTTCCGCTCCATCATCCAGAACTCCCTGGTGGTGAGTTTATTTTTGCTTTAGTTCCTTTACTCCTGCATCCCCTTTCTGTGACTTGACACTTTTTCCTTTCTTTGCAGGCTACCCAGCAGATTTCTATCATTGCTGCTCGGTACCACTCGTCCAGGGTGGACCTCCAGAGGGCCCGGGATCAGAAGGCGGAAGCGGAAGCGGCCCTTGCTCGAGCAACGGAAGACGTTGCTGCCAGGGACTCTACCCTGGTGGGGCAGGCTGCCCAAATAGAGCAGCTCCTCAAGGACGCCGAGTCGGCCAAGGTGGGCGCTGAAAAACTAAGTGCCGCACTTGCCGATGCTGAGAGGAGGATTACTGAGCAAACGCAGCGGCTCTCTGCTGCGGAGGAGAGGGCAGTGGGCTCCGAGGAAAGCTGTCTGGCCCTTACCCAGGAGCTAGACAGGATCAGGGCCGAGGAGCTGAACTGGAAGTCGGAGGAACAGCTCCTGGAGGAGTTTGCCGATGACGTCCTCCCCGCTCTCGAAGAAAATAGCAAAGAGTTCTTCAAGAGAGGGTGGGACGAGGCGCTCCAGGCTGCTGGAGTTCCGTCAGACTCCCCTCTCTTCCAAGTGCACAAGTATGTGCCCTCGGCGGAGATGGCACAGGCAGAAGCTCAGGTTGCTGCCGAGGACGAAGCCCCTACGCCGATGCAGATCTCGACTGATGCTCCTGAGACGGTGATAGTGGACTTGTCCGAGGACGCTCCGTCGGACCATGTTCCTGAACCTCATGCTGCTCAAACTATTCAAGCTGTTCCCGCTGCCGAAGTTCTTCTCCTGCCCGCTCCAGAAGCTTCTCAACCATTTATAGCTGACTCGCCCTCGGCCGAAGTTCTGGAGGTGCCTGGAGCCCGATGAAGCTACTTTTCTCTTTATCCCCTTTTTGTACCCCTTCTGCTTTCCTTTTGTAGCCTTCGGGGACGCAAAGCCCCTATTTTTGGAAATAAATAACAAGTCTTTTCTTTCCTTTTTCTGTATACAGTTGTGTTTTGCTTTTCTTTACTTCTGTGTAGAATAAATCATAAGTGTTTTTGAACTGTCTTCGGGGCATGCTGGCCCATTCCGGAGGCAAGATCTTGTATCTACTCCGGGGACTGGAGTGCTTGTGTTTTGTTCCCAGGGCCATGTTCTTCATGGTTGCTTGTTTCTGCATTTGCTTCGGGGACAGGAGTCCTTGAACTCTGTCCCCAGGGCCGTATCCTTGCAGGAGGCTTGCTCCTGTATGTGCTTCGGGGACGAGAGTCCTTGAACTCTGTCCCCAGGGCCATACCCTTGCAGGAGGCTTGCTCCTGTATGTACTTCGGGGACGAGAGTCCTTGAACTCTGCCCCCAGGGCCTTGCCCTTGCAGGAGGCTTGCTCCTGTATGTGCTTCGGGGACGAGAGTCCTTGAACTCTGTCCCCAGGGCCTTGCCCTTGCAGGAGGCTTGCTCCTGTATGTACTTCGGGGACAGGAGTCTTGGAACTCTGTCCCCAGGGCCATACCCTTGCAGGAGGCTTGCTCCTGTATGTACTTCGGGGACGAGAGTCCTTGAACTCTATCCCCAGGGCCATACCCTTGCAGGAGGCTTGCTCCTGTCTGTACTTCGGGGATGAGAGTCCGTGAACTCTGTCCCCAGGGCCATACCCTTCGTCTTTTGTTTGGCGAGCTATTGAGTGAGAGAGTACTTCAAAAGTAATACTTCTTTAAATTCATAACATTCCATGGTCGTATTACAAGTCTTCCACTCATATCTTCTAATCCATACGACCCGGCGCCCCCGATTGATATCACTTTGTAAGGCCCTTCCCAGTTAGGTCCCATCTTTCCCTCTGTCGGATCCCGGGTATTGGCCGTTACCCTTCTGAGGACTAGGTCGCCTATCCGGAATTCTCGAGTCTTGACCCTCCTGTTGTATAGTTGGGAGATCTTCTCTTGATACTTGGTTATCCTCAAGGCGGTTTCCTCCCTTCTCTCTTCCAGTAGGTCCAGATCCAATCCCAGTTGATGATCATTTCCCCCTTCATCGAAAGCTTGGGTCCTTATGGTCGGGAGCCCTACTTCGAGAGGTATGATCGCCTCCATCCCGTATGCCAGGGAGTAGGGGGTTTCGCCTGTCGATGACCGAGGGGTTGTCCTGTACACCCATAAAATGTTTAACAGCTCTTCCGCCCACTTTCCCTTGGCTTTCTCCAACCTCTTATTGATCCCATTGATAATTGTCTTGTTGGTGGCCTCCCAGTAGCCTTTACCTCTCTTTGCCAATAGGACCCTTTCCTAAGGCAATCCCACATCGGAAGAGAGTCGTCTTCCCCCCTCGCATATAAGCCCTTGCACTCAAAGGAGGAGGTACCCACTAGGCACCAGGTGCCTAGTGGGTACCTCCTCCTTTGAGTGCAAGGGCTTATATGCGAGGGGGGAAGACGACTCTCTTCCGATGTGGGATTGCCTTAGGAAAGGGTCCTATTGGCGAAGAGAGGTAAAGGCTACTGGGGGGTCGCCCGCGTGGGTTAACCCAGATCAAGCCGAAATCCTGAGTGGAGGGTTCTACCCCTTACAAAAAGGCGCCTTTTTGTAAGGGGTAGAAATCGCTACGGATCTCATCCCTCCACTTGAAGGATTTCGGCTTGACCTGGGTTAACCCACGCGGGCGACCCCCCAGTAGCCTTTACCCCTCAGTGCCCGCAGGAGCTTCGTCCCACATCGACTGAGAGTCGTCTCCCCCCCTCGCATATAAGCCCTTGCACTCAAAGGAGGAGGTACCCACTAGGCACCTGATCAGGTCGCTAGTGGGTACCTCCTCCTTTGAGTGCAAGGGCTTATATGCGAGGGGGGGAGACGACTCTCAGTCGATGTGGGACGAAGCTCCTGCGGGCACTGAGGGGTAAAGGCTACTGGGGGGTCGCCCGCGTGGGTTAACCCAGGTCAAGCCGAAATCCTTCAAGTGGAGGGATGAGATCCGTAGCGATTTCTACCCCTTACAATTACAATAGATCGTTGGACTAGCAAATAGTTCTATCAACAAATCAGATTTTACTTGAATTTTATTAGATTAGAACACGAATCAATTAAAAATTGTGGTCGAAATTCAATCCAAACATTTGGATGAGTTTTATTTTCATACTTTACCTTTAAATTCGTTAACAATTCAAAATTTGATCCGAGATAAGGCTTGATTCGAAAAACTCAACTAAACTAATTAACTCATATCCAACTAATCGAATTCAGATCAAAATTCGATCTATTGACTAACCTACATTTCACCTGGCCAAGAGGTCATTTCCTAGTCCCCAATAACATTAGTTGCATAAAAGCTCACTATGGTAGATGTTTGTAGATTAGAGACGGAAAAGATAATTAATTCAATTTCAATGATGCAAACTGTAATTAATCTTTTACGAGTTTGAACCCAAGTTTGGCGGGTGTTTTTTTTATCTAAATGAGCCTAAAATATTATTCAAACTCGATTCATTTAAAATTCGAGCCCGAGCCTAGTCTGAATAACTCGATTATTTTACATATAAATAAGTCGAGCTTGAGCCGGACTTTTTAGGTTAAACAAGTTTAAAAAATTATTTAAGTTCAGCTCATTTAGAACACGAGCCAAGTCCGAACAGAGTTTTATTTTAGTCGAGCCTGATTAACTCGTCTCAATTAACACCCTTAAATATAATTATAAAAAAAATACAACAAAAAGTAATAATTCATATTTTGATTTAGAACGACAATGTTACCTTCATGGGTAACATATTTATTCAAAAGTTTTTTCAAGTATATTGACATTCACTTCTTTTTGTGGCCGGTTCTATTATGCCCCTCTCTCCTATTTCTCTCAACCTTTGATTGGGTGTCTTTTTTGTTGCAATAGTTTATTCTTCGTCATAATAAGATATAGCAATCTATAAAATTGGATGATGCCGTGAAAATTGAGTGGCAGTACTTGACTGACATTGCCAGTGAGTTATATAATTGGATGATGCCCTAATGAAAGGTACTACAAGGACGAATGTCTGCAATTGCATTGAAGAGAGACATTACATTTTCTATCTGTTCCAATGTCTACTTAAAATATTACAACAATTGGGAAACAAGTAAGCTCTAAGTTGACAAGTAAAATTGATATTACAAATTTGTCGGTCAAAAACGGGGAGTAAATTACATTTTTTATCTTGAACTATTATCTTTGTTTCACTTTATATTTTTAATTATAAAATTTTTCGCATTACACTTTAAAATATTAATTTTATTTCATATCACTTTAACAGATAACAAATGTCAATTTTTTGATAAATTAGAAAGAAAAAATTGAAAATCTATCAAAAGAGGGAGGAAAACTTCAAAGAGATTCCCGTCAATTATTTTTCCTCTTTTGCAACCAATAGTTAATGAGAAGAAAAAAAAAAGTTGGTCAAAGGAAGAGAATTTGAAACTTATGAAGGAAAAAGTCATAGGTGAATATTTTCTTAATTTTTGACATGCACATGTACAATAGCTAATTGCTTAGTGACAGTACAGACTACTTACGTACGCATTTATTGTCAAGAAATTGACAATTGTATATATTATAGTAATATGAAATAAAATTGATACTTTAGGATATAATGTGATAAATTTTATAGTTAAGAGTATAAAATAAAATAAAGGTAGTAGGTTAAAGGGATAAAGTGTAATTTACTTTCGGACATGAGAGATATTGTATAAGTTGCCATGCAAACGATGAAATGCATGGTTTAACTTCTGGCTGACACTCTCTCTCTCTCTCTCTCTCTCTCTCTCTCTCGCTGTGCATGAGTGTTGTGTAAGCGAGAGTAAGAGAGAGAAATAGCCAGTTGGAAACCACAGGAAGTAGAGGATGATGGAGTGAGACAAGAAAACAACGACGAAGAATTGGCTATGGCTATAGGAAGCCAGCAGAGAAAAGAAGAGATTGATAAAGAGAGAGACAAAAAGAGTGATGAAGACAAAGAGAAAAGTGAGGAAGCAAAGACTATGTTTCTGGCGCAAACCGATGATGTCCAAAAGCTTCAATCCACTGCTTTCCAACTTGCCCACTATCATATTGTTTTCCAAGCAGCAATCTTATCTGCGTCCACAGCACAAATTCTCACATGCCAACACCTGTGGATTCCTTTAATGCTCTCTATAGTTGCATCCATACTCAATGTAGCTGCCTTAGGCTTTATCGGGCACAAGTACGTTGGAACCCTCAATGAAAAAGAGAGGAGTCGGAGTCGATATTACAAACTCGAAGAGCACAATACCACTAAAAAATTAAGAGAAGAATCATCTTTAACTCGTGAAGTGCAAAATCAGAAAGGGAAAAAATCAAGAGAAGAATCATCTTCAACTTGTGAAGAGAAAATTCAAATAGGGGGAGAATCAAAAGAAGAATCGTCTTCAATTAACCGTCCTGCAGAACGGAAGCACTGGTTTTTTTTTGTCATTTGCATGTTTTTTTTCATAGGCTTCTCTATCGTTATTCCGTTAGGTTGTTGGAAGATACTATGCGGACAAGATCAGTGCAAGAAAATTGCAGATGAAAAATGTGTCCAGCTTTGTGATACAGACAAGAAGTGCATAAAACTTTGTTTTCTGTATTGATCAACCATGCATGATAAAGGTCACGTCTCTTTTTGGAGTTTAAAAAAATCATGTCTTTGTTTCCATCGTATCCTACGGTAACCACCCTTAGCTATTGTTTTGAACATTCCTATTATCATCAAGCTTGTCTTATGTACGCAAATGTAAAGGCATGTGACTCATCCAATGAGTCCAAGGGTGAAATATGTAAAAGTGATTGTGATGAAATAGTAATTGGCTCAAAGCCTCACTTTGAAATGGTTGAGACTTTCTGTTTGTTTTCAGATATCAGTCATCATATAATTTATTTCAACACTTTACGTTCCTGCTATTTTTGTAGCTTAATTTTTTTATTTAAATTTTGTGATGATGGTAATTCCTTTAAGTTCGCTAATGAAAATACCAATTTTTTAAGAATACTTTTTTTAGTATTATGATATTCTTCATGATAATTTATACAAACTCAAGCTTGAAGATCTATTTTTTGAATCTCTTCTGTCACACCCCATATCGGAAGAGAAATAGGATGTGGGTAAGTCTAATTAATTCTAACACCCTAACTCAACAATAGCTAACTAACATGTGTAGTAATAAAATCAACCATTCTTCTATAACATCAAAAACTAATATATACAAGTACATTGTTATATCGTAATTAGGGCACTATACCCATAAAACATCTTTAACAAAACTATGCACATTTAAGTCACAAAACAAAATGTACAATCCGACATCAACAATCCTACATCATCACTCCTACGTCAAGCTAGACTGTCCAGTGGACCACCTTCTACTTTCTGTGTTCTTGAAAGCAAGCAACTGTGGAGGGGTGAGGAACCACTACCCCTACCTCGAGAACTTCAAGCAGAATCTCTACCACTAGTAGTCGCACTGCCTACTGACGATGTAGGTGCTACGAGCTATGGAAAATCACGTTGCATATGACCTGGCTGCCCGCACATGAAACATAACATCTGTCCAAAATGATGTACATTCCCTAGCAAAATGTCCTCCACTACCACATCATAGCAGACATTTCCCAAGCTACGACCATTGGAACCACCCCTGCTTTGAGAGGAAGATTGTTGACCAACAAAACCTTGTCCGTTACTTTGCATAAACTAAACCTGATGTCCCTTAGATGGACTCTTTGATGATGAAAACTCTTTCCACTCTGACTTGGGTATCCACCACTAGAAATACTTTGTCTTCCAAGATCAAATCTACTCATCTTTGACTGTTCACTAAACCCCCTTTCTTCTTGCACATCTCTTTCCGCAATTAATGATTTGTTAACTAGTTCAAGATACATTTTCACCTCTTGTGTAGAAATTCGGGATCAAATACTGAAATCCAATCCCATCTGGAACCTTCTACACTTCTCCTCCTCATTACTTACAATAGATGGAACAAATTGAGATAGCGCTGTAAACTTGTGCTCATAATTGGTGACCAGACATATTCGCCTGAGTAAGGTGAATAAACTCATTTTTCTTCTCATAACGATAAACTAGAGGAAAATACTTCTCCTTAAAAGCTTCAACAAACTGTTTCCACGTTACAGCTTTAGGTGCCATTCTAACACTTGAGATAGTCAACAGACGCTCGGTAGCTTCCCACTAACACTGAGCCTCCTTCACAAGCATAAAATTACCTAAGGTCACATTTGATAGGGTTATATACTAAAATTTTATTTTTTTGTAATGAAACTCATTTTATTAATTAATAGAAGTTTGGATTTTTTATTTCATTGAGAATCTATGTAGGCAAAATATTTGCATTATGGTATGCATATGTGTCTTTTATTTTATATTATAGATAATCTAGTGTGTAGAGTTTAACTTATGTACAAAATACCAGATTATCGGATCCTTGTATAATATGACTATAGATAGAATTGGACACACCATTAGTATGATTATAGTGTAATATTTTAGCAAAATCTGTTTTGATTATAGGATAGGTTCACAATCTTAGATGAAATTGGACACACCATCAGTATGATTGTAGTGTAATATTCTGATATAATTGATCTTGACTATATGAGACTATTTGATGTCTCAAATTACTACACTAGTATACTTTGTATATTGAATAGATTCATGTTGAGATTATTATCTTTTACTGATTCAATAAGATAATAAATATCTCATGATTATTATGATTGCTTATACTCTTAATCCTGAGATATTTAATTGACACGTGCATATAATGATTGTCACTTTAATTCATCAAAGAATAAGATTCATATTGAGTCAATAAGTTCGGTGAATTGTGAGACGATATTTTGTATGGTGAAAATTAATTATTAAAGGAAACCACGTCCTGATATTTAAATGGGTTGATGATGTTTTCTTGAGGAAGCTTATAAGTTTTATACATATCAAATCCTACAGGTAAATTTAATTATCCGATACAACAAATAAGTTGAGTGGTGAGGTCTCAAGGAATAAAAGAAATAAATTAAATATAATTGTTAATAATTTATTTAATTAATGGACATTTGTAATCTTAAACATAAGGAGATTATTAAGCATATAATAATAAGGAGCTCGAAATACAATTTTGAGATAAGGCTCAAGAGATTAATAATAAGTCTTTAGTGAACTAACTTATTATTAATGGACTATAAGATGTTTGTTCTGAGTTGAACATAGGAATCCTAGAACCATTGAAAGCACGACCTTTATTTTTCCTTAGGGTTTCACGCAGCCTATATATAGATGTCTAGATTTTCTAAATCAACATCAATTTCATTACTCATGTTTTTTAGAAAGGCTGAAAGAGATAGCAGAATTTTTGAGGTCTTTGCTGCCCACACTATATCTGGATTTTGACGTTGGGGGATATACGATAGCAGACCATGAGGCTCATCGAGCTATTTTCCACGTTTGTTTTTAGATTCTGTGTTCGTGCTGAGACGAGATCAATCCAGAGCGATCTTGAAGGTAAACCTCAGTTTCGATTTGTAGGGTTTTAATGAAAAATTTTTTGTATTCGATACATACGCATTATCAATGATTCTTGAGATTTCTGTTACAACAACATTTTCTTCTTCGGTAACACCTATAACTTTAAATATGTTTTTCATTCTTTTCCGCTAGCTCTTAGCCTCAGCAGCACCAGATACACCAGTAAAAGTTGGAGGATCAAGCTTTTTGAACTGTTCATAAAGTGTACTCTAAGGTTCTGACTGCATAATCTGTTGCTCAAAATATTTAGTGGCGGCTGCCTCCAAATGTTTGTTTAGCTGCCTTTTCACCCTACTTAGCCTGTTTCTACAGCCTTTTTTCCTTGTTACCCACAAGAGTAGAAGAAGCCTCCTCCTCTAAATTTTTCCAAATCATCGAATCCATTATTGCCTCTGTCAAGTAATCAGGGTAAGTGAACAAACAATAATATAGTATCACACTACCCAATAAATACATATAGCATCCCAATAGACTTGATAGACACATTCCTAACGGTCCACTGTAACATCTAGACTCAACAAGTCTACAGAAACTATCAAACTTTAGCTCTGATTTCAAAAATTATCTCACCCTATCGCAGAAAAGAGATAGGATATGGGTAATTTTGTAAATTAATTCTAACACCATTACTCAACCATAGGTAACTAACATGTGCAGTAATAAAATCAACCCTTCATCCATACCACTAAAAACTAATATATACTAGTATATTGTTATATCATAATTAGGGCCCCATACCCCATAAAACCATCTTTAATAAAACTATTTACATTCATGTCACAAAACAAAATGTACAATTCAACATCAACAACCCTATGTCATTACTCCTATGTCAAGCTAGACTGTCCAATGGACCACCTTCTATTTTCCATGTTCTTCAAACAAACAACTGTGAAGGGGTGAGCAAAACCACACACTCAGTGAATATATATGAAACATATAATAGAAAGAAAACACCAAAATATAGCAAAGTAATAACATATTTCACATATTAGGATTTAATATCAATTTTTGAACAACCAACAATAAATAGTGCAACCCATTTTTGCCCAGGTGTCTCGGCAATCACATCGTTGTTGTCTATACCCAACAGTCTTAGCAATTTTATCGCTACCATTTATGCCCAGAAGCCTCAGCTAATGCATCGTTATAGTTCATGCCCAGTAGTCTCAGATGTTTCAATCACATAATCCTTCAATTCATAACTAAACATCATCACACAACACAACATCTTTCAACTCACAATTTAAGCTATAATTACATGAGTATAGCTTATAATACTCATACGCATTTTCAGTCAATATGAGATAATACATTCACCTCGGGTTCAATTCCAAATCCGAACTCACTTCCCTTATATAGTCTTTGGTGAATCCGATGCTGATGTCGTCATCTCCGCACCTAACATACATCACCACAAATCACATAAATATTATTCACAAACTAATGATATTATGCTACACCTACATGAGTAATAGTCAAGCTTAATCCGATGCCTTCCCAATGTTTTCCCGTTATTTATTTTAATGAATCCAATTCTTAGGTTTAATGATGTGTTTGTAACTAAATAAATCAATTAAATGTGATTCAAACCCATTAAAGTGTTTTAAGAATGCTTGAGGTTGAAGGCATGTGATCCATCTATATCTTTGCATCATTGTAAGGACTCGGTCTTCACACATACATAATTCATCCTCAAACCTGTTGTTTTGTCATTATTCTGACATTCTCTTCTTCTTCTTTAATGAAGCCTTCTCGTATTGTTACTCTTGAAATGACTCTTCTGCAAGTGCAAGTTACTCAATTCACTGTTCATATTTTTAACCCACTCTTTGATCTCTTTACTTAAAAAATGGCCCTTGGGCTTGCTTTCAAAAATATGCCTCCAGACGAAGTTCGGCTTATCTACCCTGACTCTCATATGTCTTTGTCTTTTAACTTTTATGAGCCCTTTCAATGGACGAATTGGATCAACAACAACCCTATCCGTGCAAGTGTTCACTAACTTTGAGCAAAGAGATTAGACAAGTGAACCAGAGAACGCAATCA